CACATTATAACAACTCCATAGAACAGATTTAAAACACACACACACTCCAATCTGATTGCCAGCACGGTTATAAATGACTCTGTGACTGAGAAAGAGACTAGCAGAATATGACAGAGAGCAAATTAGTAAGAGACCAGGACGAGGGGAATTCTGAGAACAACCTTGGGAAGTAAACCTGAAATTCTGAAGACATGTTCCAAGATAATGAAAACCATGACAAAGAAGATAATGAAGTAAGAGCAGGAAACAAAATTATCTAGATGTTACTAAATAGTATTAAAAAGAATATAAAGAAGGTAGTTTTTTTTAAAGGCAAAGTTAACCAACACTTCTCTAGACCTGAAGACTGAAAGCTACACTAATTAGTGTAGAACCACAGATGCATCCTGAAAGCAAATTCAAAGAAATGAGAACAACAAAAAGATCCTAATTCTTTTAAGCGCGCGCGCGCGCACACACACACACACACACACACACACACACACACACAGGATTATAGACAGGTAACTTAAAATAAGAGAGAGAAAATAAAAACTTTTCTTCTATGATAAGCTGAAAAAACTCTTGGGGAGAAGGGGGGGTGAGGAGGAGTTTCCCAAGCATAAAAAAGAAAAAGGTGCAACATAAAATTATACCAAATCAAATTCGTGTGGTAGTCTGAATTCTTTCAGATATAGTATTTCAAAAAATCTACAATTCTCTCTTAAAGAAGAACAAGGATGCCAAAAGATTAGAGGTGAAATGAGACTGGAATTTAGAGAGGAATATATATATTTCACTTAATTTTTTGCAAAGAAAAGGTGACAAAGTTTATACTAATTTGAGTTAACTTAACCAAGATAAAAAGAGACAAAAGAAAGAATTCTCATTCAGTGGGAAGTAAAAGAAAAAAACTACTTTCAACATTGTAACAACATTCATAAAATAAGATTCTGAATTGCAAATCATTGCAGGAAATAGAACTAGTTTGTCTTTAAAAAGTCAAGCATCTCAATCACAACCATTAATCTCAAACAGTTAGCTCTATTAAAGCTTTCAGAAGAAACATTTAAAATTACAACAAAGGGTCCAAATTAAAAAAAAAAATTAAAAAGATGTGAAAAGATCATTCAATTGGTAAACTAAAACCCCCTGTGGCCATATTGTCAAGCAAAGTATCTGGTGAAAAATACAAATGTTACACAGGATACACAGTCAGTTTTACACTGATAAGAGGCATAAAATATGTATCAACAATGGCCTGGCCTACTTGCTCAACAACAGCCACAAAATAAGTTTAACAACAAAAAAAAAAAAAAAAAGAAAGAGAATAAATAAATAAATAAATAAATACAAGTAGAAATTGATATGAAAAAATACAGGTCAATTTTATATACATCCTTATATGTTGTTGAATCAGCTAACCAAAAAATAAGGACTGAAATTAAAAACATACACCTTAAAAAGTCACATTTCAAGTACCAAAATGTTTGCCAAAAAAAAAAAAAGCACACTGGTTAAAGTATCTGATTAAATACAATTAGGGCAGAAATGAACATGCTTAAAGCACAACCTAAAAAACAAATTAGGTCAAATGTATATATTAAATACAGATAAGGTTAAAAATATAACGACTTTGGGGACAACACTATAACTAAAGGTAAAGCTATAGTTACATATCCTTTTCCTTCGAGAAAGCAAAGAAAATAAGTTATGACTCAACTCCCTAGCTGAGCGCAGCGGGAAGGCCGGTGGGCGTACGCACGGTCGGCGGCAGGTCTTCGGCCGGCGCTCCGGCGGAGAGAAGCCCACTCCTGCGGCTCCAGCCAGCGCCGGCCCGGAATCGCCGGAGGCCGCAGCTCCGACCTCACAGACCTCAACCCCTCCCTCCCCGGCGGGCACTCCCCGGGAGGGTTAAATGGCGACGACCCCTCCCTCCCTCGGCGCCCGCCCACGGCCGGAGAACCAGGTGCGGGGCCGCGGGTCCACCTGGCCCGGGGGCGGCGCAGGTGCTAGGCTCGCTCCGCGCCTCCCACGCCCTGGCCCGCACTCCATCCCGGGATGGTCCCGGCGGGCTCGTCCCCCTGACAGGACCCCCGCCCCCGGAGGACACCTCTACCCTCTGGGCCAGCGCCTCTCCCCCGCTCAGGCCTCCACATCTTTCCGTCTCCGGAAGGAGCCTCCGCCCGGCAGCCTCCCCGGGCCTGGGATCCAGGGGCCTCGGCCACCGGCCACCCCACTGGCGGAAGGGAAACCTACACAGGCCCACTGGGAGGGCAAATACGAGGACCAGGACAGGGGTCCAGAAACGCATTTCGGAGTCAATCGGACAAGAATGGGAAGCTGCTGAGAGCCCACAAATGTACTCTTGGAGGGTTCTGAGTTTTCTGAGAACTTAGGTTTCCAGGGGAATGCCACCCTAAATCATTAAGAAAGTATTAACTGGCCGGCAAGGTGCTGCAGTGCAGGTCTTCATACCTTCGCTTAGCACTGTGTCACTGTTGGTCCCAAGTGCTGTCAGGTAGAAAGAGGCAAGATCTGATCCAAAGGCGGAGATGCTTGGCGGCACAGGTACCTGCACCGCAGCCCTCAGCTGAAGATCCTCAGACTAGCAAAGGGTTCTGTCTCCATTCACAGCACGTGGCAACAGCAACGCCCACAAACCACGCCAGTAACTCACAATGAGGAACTGCTGTTCCAGATTTAAGCAACCACTGGATCGGTACCTACCACGGTGCACCTGGAAGCGAAGCTTCTCAGACCTACCCAGTGACACTGATTACATCTAAAGCTCAAGGGCTGCCTGCTGGCGGTCTGAGGCCTCATTTCTCTGAATCAGGAAACACGGTCACCATATATCAATACTATTTTTATAGAAATACCTATACAAAGGCATTCTCAGGACCAACTTTACTAAAGCCAAAGAAACCCAATGTGCTGAACTGGACCTGAGATAGTAAGTCTACTAAACCGAGACTTGGCTGTTTTGTTTCAATGTAAAACTATGTGTTATGTTAAATGAATATTTACTCTCTAAATTCTATTTAGTTTTATTTTTAAAGTCATTGTAATTACTGTAGGTAAAAGAAGTTGATTCCTAGCTTCATGTCTGATCTATAAAATTAAGATTATGATTTTTAAAACTCCCAGCATGAGGGGAGTGCAGACACTAGAGTCTCCAGGTTTTTACCATCTACATCAAAGTACAACATGAAAATGAGACTCAGCAATATTTCTGATAATTCTAGAGAGCAAAGCCCTGCTACCCAGTCCAGCATGGCAGCCCAGGGAGATGGGCAATGTGCGGTGGAAACATTACACTGACATTATGGAGACCTGAGTTCTAGTTCCTACTCTGCCTTTGCAAAACAGTAAACTTGGACGACTTAGGCTCTCACCGGCTCTTAATCCAGAATTTATGAAACTATACAGATTTCAAAAGAAGCATGTGAATTACTTTTATGATTGATTCAGCCTAGAGAACATTCAAAGAAAGGTCACAGTAAATATCTTTGTAAATAGCTCCTAAACTGGGGGAGGGGTGGGGGGAGGGGGGCAGTCAGTTGAGAATTAAAGGTGGGCACACAGTGGAACATACAAATCTTATATCATAGAAAAATGTACACTTGAAACCTATATGATCCTATTAACCAAAGTCTCCCCAATAAATTTAATTTAAAAAATTAATGGAAGTAATGGAGTTATTTTTACTTTCTACTTTAAATATTTAAATATTTTGTGCTCCCATGGACAAATAATTTGTTTACCTGATACTATACTAACTCTCCCCATAAGTAGAGTTGTCAGCCAACCTACAGGTTTATGGAGACAGAACCTCAGGAAGCTTAAGAGAACAGCATGGAACACTCGGAGTCATATTTACCAAAACAGATGGCAGAACAGAGAATCACTGACTCAAAGAATATCCAGTAAGAATTAAAAATAACTGCAGAAAGACTGATTGTGTTAAATGGAAATGATTTGACTGAATGTGGTATGTATGATCAATAATGATGTGTATTATTATGTGTATTACCAAGCATAGTATCTTAAGTGATGAAAAAATGGAAATAAATGTCTATAGATCCTGTCTAACACTTAAAATCCAAGAGAAACTTTACACAACACCAAAAAAAAAAAAAAAAAAAAATTAATGTCTAAGTCAATCATCACTTACTAAAACCACCATTGGGGAGGCACAATATGCATATACATATGCATATATGATAATTCCAAATATTTAATACAAGTGTTACATACATATATACATACATAAATATATGTACATATGAAAAATCATTGTAAAACCACCTAGAAACTACCCTATAGAAAAGTAATGTAATATCTCTGGATTTTAAATTTTAAAAACATATCTCTGTTTCAGTATCCTTATATGGGGATACTACCTATTTCAGACTTTCTGGGAAGATTAAAGATAATTCATTAAAAAAAAATTTTAAGCCATAAATACCTATACGTATTAACAGATTCAGCAGCATTTTATAACAGCCTAAAGTTGCAAACAACCCCAATGTTCACCAACAAGCAATTCAATCAACAAATTGTGGTATCTCCACTACTTGGCAACTATATGGGTGAATCTCAAAATAATTATACTGAGTTTTAAAGCCAGACAAAAAAGAGATCATATAATGTTCTTTATATAAAACTCTGGAAAATGCAAACTAATGTACGGTGAAAGAAAGAAGGTTGCCTGGAAGATAAGAATGGTGACTGGTGAACAGCTGGAGGGACTCACAGGGGCACCAGGAAACTTTTAAGGGAGATGAGTATGTTTATTATCTTGAAAGTGATAATGGTTTCATAAGGGTATATATATGTCAAATTATAGACTTTAAATATGTATACTTTGTTGTATATCAATTATGCATCAATAGAGCTGTTTATTTTAAAGGTGATGGCAGTGTATATAAATTTGCATAAGTATCCAGTTTGTCTGCTCTATATATTTAAAAAACATACAAATGCTGATATTTTTCTTAAAGAAATAAACAACTTACTTTGCATTTCCAGCCATTGGTTGGTACTGATTTCATAACTGGTTGAAGACAAAAAGTATGATACCCTTTGTCACACGTATCACACACTAGCATCTTGCTATCTTCTCCCGATTGTCTAAAAAATAAGATAGCATTAATGATGCCTGACCTTTAGACTTATGTTTATAACATAAGTAATCATCTAAAGAATCAACTCTGGGATTGCCTAGTTCATCAACACCTCAGTGTCTGTTTGTCCCTGTGCAGATGACGACAAAGGCAACCCCTGGATGTGACAGCATTCGTCCCCAGCTCCCTAAAGGCTTTTCCTACTGTTTCCCACTGAAAGCTAGCCTAGGGTGAACCTGCTTTAGGCATCTGGTTCCGCAGAGAAGGAGAGGTTAAGGCAAGATGCCTGACTACCACATATTGTCCTCTCTTGGGAAGGAGCTCTAACTGATAGTTGATGCTGAAGGAATACCCTTCATTCAGCACAGTGAACTGGGAAGACACAGTCATAATAAAAGGAGGAGCAAATTTGGCATCATACCTATCTTTATATTCAACTGCTGTTTTTCTAGCTATCTGACTCCTGAATAACTTAGACTTGAGTTCTGTTAGTTTCAGGTATAAAATATGAATAATTACCAAAGGTTACTCTGAGAATTAAGTAATTCTGGTTGAAGAGCTTAGAATACTCATTAAGCAGCATGTACTAAATAAATAGGTATAAGAATAACAATCTTATCATTATTAAGAACTATTCTAAAAATAAATATCTGCCTTGATTGTTAGCTATTAATCACTCTCAGATACTAAGAATTTAACTCAAGAGGAAGGGAAAGAAAAACTGGGGAATTCAAGAAGAGTGGAGAGAGGAAATGCTGAATTAAACCTGGGGGAAATAGAAGTAAAACGGAAGATGGGTTAGTTGGTCTCCAGTTATTTCTTATTTAGCTTAACAAATTCTACATATAAAATTGCATATTTTATCTCTTCAGCTACATGGAAAGATCTCATAGGAAAAGTACTCTTTCCATAAGTTCTTATAGTCCCTCCCAAGAAACTCGGTACAGATACAAGGTACCAAATAAATATTTACTGATATTTTCTTTAATTTTTACCAAAATATAACAGCATTTGGCCCTACTTATTCCACATAATTCTGAGATACTGATGCTTTAAGAAATTAAATTATGAATAAAACAGACTGGTGGCATAATTTCTCCTAGTTACTAAAGTCCATAGCTCGTAAGTTATTTAAAGACTGCTATAGATGCAGGTAACAGCCCCAATTTATAATGCTAATTAGTAGCATGAGAAAATATCGCAGAAAAAACTGGAGAAATGACCTAAGGATGGAATAGAACAAACGGGAAAAGATCATCCCATTGCAATGTTTAAATGACATACGATACTTTGTTTCAGTATTATGGTGACTAGGATCTACTGACCATAACTGTCTTTCAAAGATCCAGAATTTTAAAAGAAAAAAAATGATTTTAGTATAATTGTTCTTCCTGGAAAGGAAGGTGACTCACTTTTGGTAGTTAGATTTATTTTCCTATTAAATCCTTTCCCTAGTTTCCCTCTAAAGAAGTTGCTTTAGTTTTCTAATATTTATTTTAAATTATTAATATCACTCATTTAAAAAACTGTTGGCAAATTTAAATGAGCTTTTGTTTAGTCTTTTTTCAAAGTAATATAAATGTTAATACACATCTAGCATTTATTTCTTAAATTAAGACATGATGGAGGTGATGTGAATGAATATGGCTGCAGTCTGAACAAGCTTTAGCCCATCACACAAACCTCTGGTACCTACAAATAGGGTCTCTCACAAACTCAATACACACCTGTGAGTTGAAATTAAAACTTACTTGCAGTTCTGGCACACTTTGCACTCAGGACATTGCCAACCTGCACGTTTTAATGGAGTAACCGCTATATCCAGGCACATTCCATGATAGTGCTGACCACAAGTAGTACAAAAGAACTGATCTAACAGGTCTCCCGGGCTGTCGCACACTGCACAGTTTGCATCTTCCTTTGCTATAATTAACAGTAAAACAATGAAATTGTTGTATAAGAATTTGATAATTTTCTGACTTTACAATTTAAAAATCACTTTAAAGAAATTTGCATAGTAAATCTTTCAGACACTTTTAAGTTATCCACATCCAATCAGAATATGGTCTCCATAGAAACAATGCAATATATTTAATCTAAATGTAATCACATTCAGTTTAATCATCTGGTTTTGCAATTTGTGCCTATGTGTACTTGAGACCAAGCAGTTCTGATGTAGTCTTATATCCCTAGTACCAGTGACAATGCTGGGTGCCTACTCAATGCTTCACATATGCTGCTGAAAGGACCACCCAGGAAAATATCAACTGAGATGTTGGTAAAGTAAAACAAAAACAAAAACAAAAAAACAACACCATTTTATTTGGATGTTAAATATATTCTGAAACTAACAAATAAGAGACAAAAAATTAAGAAATGTTAATATCCATTAGATTAAGATGCTTCTTAAGCATAAACAGACTGATTTTTATTTTAATCAAATAATTTTTTTTAATTCTGAAAAATACTGTATGAGGGAGAACATTGTAGAAGGAAGCTAACATTCATACCCAAACACAATACTTCATTCACTATTTCGATATTCATCTATGTTAATGGCAAGCTATTTTAAAAAGCACTAAATTATATATAATTATGGACATCATCTACCTCCTAAATGTAGATAAAAAGAAATATTGCTTTTTAACAGTTCTTTTACCACTAAAACAAAAACATAACTGTAAGAATAAACTGCCTTGCCAAGTACATAAATTCATTCACATTACAAAATAAAGAATAATGTTTTCTAAAATCATACCAATCTGATATATCTCCTATATAATAAAAGCCTAAGTGTCCAACAGTTCATTTGACCAGTCGCTATGACATTCACTGACCACCAGAGGGGCAGGTGCTCCATTGGTAGGTTACCTGCTGCTGGGCCCGGCTGATCAGATGTACGTGGCTAGATGGGCTGGAGGATATGAATGAATATAGCTGCAGTCTAACCCTTCCACGGTCTTTCCCCAGCCCCAACCATGCACCAGAGGGGTTCCTCATCCTGGCCTGTATCATTTGGCAATCCGGAAATCCTGGGGGGATGTCAGAGAACCTGTTTCGGCCCAATCTCTGCAGGCCAGGCTGAGGGACTCCACCCGTGCATGAATCTGTGCACTAGGCCTCCGGAGTACATGTGTGTACACACACACACACACACACACACACACACACACACTATGCCTATATTGGACACTTAGGGCCTCAATTAAATGGTCTGATTAGCCGATACCGGTTTGGCTCAATGGATAGAGCGTCAGCTTGGGGACTGAAGGGTCCCAGGTTCGATTCCGGTCAAGGGCATGTACCTTGGTTGCAGGCATATCCCCAGTAGGGGGTGTGCAAGAGGCAGCTGATTGATGACTCTCTCTCTCATCGATGTTTCTAGCTCTCTATCTCTCTCCCTTCCTCTCTGTACAAAATCAATAAAATATATATTTTTAAAAATAAATAAAAATAAAAAATAAATAAATGGTCTGATTAGCTGATTACCATAGAATTGTTTATAATCCTATATTGTTTATAATCGCATATATAATTTTTTTCTCTTTTGTATTTTGAAGGATTGGTCAGTCCTCTCGGACTACAAGTCCTTTCTGCCTTCTTTCATTCCCAGTTAAGCTTTTTGAAACAAGTAACAATCTATTCCATTTCCTTATACCAGTCAGCAAACTGGTTTTGTAGGCCATAGAAGTCTCTGGTGTAGACACTTTGTTTTTATTTTAGAGGCCTTTTAAAATTATTTAAAATAAAAATAAAAAATAAAATATATATATATATATATATATATATATATATATATATATATATATATAAATAAATAAATAAAATAACATAAACCATTTGTAGCCTGAGGGCAGCACACACACACACACATGGACCCTGAGACTGAGATGTACGTGGTCCCCAAGCTGGACCCTGGTGGCTCCACACCCATCATTCATCCGAAGCTACTTTAATGAGGCTCCCAGGGTCACTTTCTAACTTTATCTTATCTGCATTTCGCGGCATTTGTATTACTATCTCAGTCCAAGTAAGATTTCCTTCCCTGGGCTTCTAGGAGGGGCTCTTTCTCCTGGTTTCTCCGAGGGTCCCCATGCCTCCTCTTCCTCCTGGGTTGGATTTGTGCCTCCCTCCCTCTAAATGCTTTTGTCTAGTAGGATTGCACCCTGTTCTTTCTTTTTAATTCCCCTTGCCTTCTCTTTGTGATTTCATCAACTCCCATGATTCCAATTCCCCAATGGTTATCACTAGCCCCAAACTTCTTTCTAAACCCCAACACACTATTTGCAAGTCTTCCTAAACCTCAAGAGTCAGATGTTCTAAAAATATTCACTTAATGCCTCTAAAATAAAACATTTAAAAAATCTAACCGCTCCCCGACCTCTTCTCTCAACCAGCATTAGTATCACTGTTGACCCTTTAACTCTTCCCTGACTCAACACAGCCACTGGACACCAACAACTTTCCCTGTCCCTGTCCTTCTATTTGGACATCTGGGTCCTTGCACTCCCTGCTGTGGTCACTGCAATGTGTTCTGTACGAAATCCCTGCATATGGCTCTGATCTGCTCCCTAAATAATCTAATTATGCATCCAACTGGTTATCTGAAATTAAAGCTGCACTAGTATTTCCTTTTTCACCTAAAAGTGAAAAAATAAAATCTTTCTAGTATGAAGCAAAAAAGAAAAACACAAAACAAAAAACAATTTCCTCCCTTTCCAACTGACTCCCAGGACCACTCACCAATTCCTGGTCATGTCAAGCAGTTTGTATGCACATAACATACACTGAGTGGCCAGATTATTATGATCTCTGAACACATAATAATCTGGTCACTCGATGTATATCCTGTATAATAAAAGGCTAATATACAAATTGTCCCCTTAACCAGGAGTTCGGCCAGCAGACAGGCTAGCCAACTGCCTATGTCCCCTCCTCTCTGGCCAGGCTGGCCGGACCCCACCCATGCACGAATTCATGCACCAGGCCTCTAATACACACATACACTGAGTGGCCAGATTATTTTGCGTTCAGTGATCATAATAATCTGGCCACTCAGTGTATGCTGTTGCTCAGGACACCTTCTATTCCCTCTACATGAAATGTGGTTCCCTTGTTGTACCCAAGCCCATTCCAAAGAGACCTTCCAAACTCTGTTCAAACATTGTCCCCAAATATAAAATATTACCACTCCTAAGCAACTATGTGTATAGTTGTTAAATATTCCTTTCTCCGTATGCTTAGAAGAAACTGTTCTATAATTAATTATAACACAATATTGTGCTCCCTTGAAGGGCAGGGTCCTTATCTTTTTTGACTTTGCATCCTCAACTGCCTAAACAAATAGTCTTATTAGATATATAGTTTAAGTAAATAACTTGCTTCTAAAGTCACTTTTAAAAGAATCTTTGAGCCCTAGCTAGTTTAGATCAATAGACAGAACGCTGGCCTGAAGACTGAAGGGTCCCAGGTTCAATTCCAGCCAAGGGCATGTACCTTGGCTGCAGGCACATCCCCAGTAAGGGGTTTGCAGGAGGCATCTGGTCGATGTTTCTCTCTCATCGATGTTTCTCTCTATCCCTCTCCCTTCCTCTCTGTAAAAAATCAATAAAATATATTTTAAAAAGAAAAAGAAAAAAGAATCTTTGATTGATAGGCATTAATTTAAAAATGGAAATGTCATAAATTAGTTCATTTTTTAAGGGTGAATTGTTTTTCTTAATATTCAAATGGAGTGTCAATATTTACTCATTCAAGCTATGGACGTTTAAAAACTAGTCTCAGATATTTGCTACCCTCAGAACATATAGAAATTGGAGTACATATAGTACTGGACTCTGATGATCAAATACTCAATTCATCTTTCTATTGTAATTTTCCAGGAATACTGTCCAAAATGGGTCCATAAAACTTCCTAGTGTTTGACTCTGACACTTCCACTTACCATGGCAGCAACCAGCCAATGTGGCTACAATGTAGATTCCAAAATTATATTAGGGGGAAATGTCTACTATCTCAAATATTTTTTATTGATTATATGATGAAATATTACTATTTTGTATATACTATTTAACATGACCACTAGAAAAATAACAATTACTTCTGTTGCTCACAGGATATTTCTGTTACACAGTGAGCACTGTTTTATATAGCAAAGCCCATTTGACACCCAGATACATGTGTGTCACTATGGCAGAGATAACTTCATTCTATTACAGATTCCAGCAGTTTCTTAATGACAACGCTGTCATATTGTTTAATTAGTGTGGAACATTAGTAGCAAATTAAACAAAGAAAACATCCACAGGATATACTGGGTCCAGAAACATTTACTTTATGATATATAAAAATAATTAACAGCAAAAAAAAAAGTGCTACATAATTAGTTAATTCCAAAAACTGCCAATATAGGAGAAGATACATGCAGAAACCCTAGCACTGATCATGCATAAGAAGATGATACTACTGGACAGTTTAAGTGTCTTGTCTCATGTAAGTATATGTCTGCACACCACACAGACGTTAAATTTGAAGCAATAATCAAGAACTATGTGAGATTTTTCTTGAAGCAGCTGGAAAGCAGAAGAGACTGGGGGGTGAGACTGGAGTGAATTTGAGAGGACAGGAGTGAAGTCCAGGTCACTGTGGCTCCAAAGGCCACGTTCTTCATTCCTGGTCGACACTGACTCCCAGGGGGAGAGCAAAGAGGGGGAGAACACCTGAGCTTGTCCAAAAGCAGCAAGTGCCAGCACAGGCATAAAATGAGGAGGGTAAACGATTGGGGGGAGAGAGAGGTAGAGGGAGAAAAAGCAGGAGAAGCAGAAAGATAAATTTTGGACAAGGTCACTTTCTAAGTGACAGCTGTGACAAGAAAAGATGGAGGAAAAGACAAACACAATGAGCTCAAAGTAGAAGAGAGCTTATCATGGATCCTTCAACTTGGTCAAGTTGGAAGGTGAGACTATACTGCTTACCGGTGTCTAGAAGCACGGAAGAATAAATGTGCTGGAGTAAATAACAAGTGAGAAATGTCAAATTGATGTCAGACAGCATCAGTTTAAGAAGGGCTACATCAGAGTGGCTGCTGCTGGATCAACAGCACCTACCATCGATGCCATCACTGCTGGCAGAAAGAACACTGTGCCAGGTGGCTGGCCTACCACGGGGCGTCTCTAGAAAGAAAACGTAAATCATGGATGCTGTCCAGAGAGTCTGACCCTTACAGTAGGTAGGTAGGCAGGTTAATAAAGAAAGGCCAGGGGACTGACAGAATGCAAAGCAGAAATATAAGCACTAGCGAGAAATGAAGGTTGGAGTTAAAAGTTTAAGTTAAAAAAAAAAAAAAAAAAAAAAGCTTAGTGGTGGCAATAAATACACTGGAGAGGGGAGATGACAGAGAGAGAGAAACAGAGAGAGAAAACAGAGAGAAAATTCCCACACTTAAACCTGCAAAGGGTCACACTGCAGACAGACACACCAAACCCCGCCCTGTGTGACCTAGCCTGTGTTCATCAGGGTGTTGCCTCTACTATCCTCCCAGCAGACACGATGGCCCAGGCACAATGACCAGTGGCCGTCCACAGCTATGCCATGCTCTTTCCCCAGGCCTGTCAGCGTTGCTCATCTGCCTGGCTGCTCTCCCCCCTGATCCTAGCTGGCGCCCTGCGTTCAGCTTTCCCTAGGAGGCAGCGCACTCCTCAGGAAGCACGCTGGCCGTGTCTCCGCGACAAGCATTCAGTGGAAATTTTCCAGACAAGGTTCATGCACATCAACATGACAATAACGCTGGAGGTATGGCCAGCCTCTGTCCATGACACAGAGCATCCTGCAACTGCTTTCTACTGAAAGTCCTGGCCTTGCTCGCTGACCCTGCCTTTGTTGGAATTTCTTTCTAATGGTGTCCATGTCTTTGTAGATTTGTCAACTTGCACAAAAAATGTCAATCTTACTCCTAACTCAGCTAACTATCACTTTAACAAACTGCTCTACACTTAGCTATCAGTATTCAATGTATACATATAACTTGAGCTTTAGATAAGAACTAAAATCACTACCTTTTTGTAAAGCAATTAATATAGACAAGGTCCGATGCCACATGATATTCACTGACTAGTGTCTTTTCACTTATCCCCCATTTTTGAGACATAAAAGTTCTGTACTTTGTGCTATGACACACAATTAAAACAACTAGAAAAATTTTATAAAGACTACTGCATAGTCTTATATTATAGAAATACATTATATCTCTAATATTCTCTATATTCTTGGATTAAGATGGATGGTCAGGAAGTTATGTATTTAGACTGCATTTTTCAAAAATCTCCAAGAAATTGAATTTTCTCGGTTGGGCTTTGATTTTATACCATTAGCTTATTTTGAGATCTGTTTAAAAAACTGCCCTGTGGAATTTGTTTCTTACACTACAAGGCAGCTACTTGGAGACAATTTTAACACTGCAGTATAATGTGTGCATACAGTCTCCGTATCAAGTGAATTCTTGTCATATTGCTATGAACCAAGTAATTCTTCTTATTGATTACTGGAGCCTATTTGTAGTTTAGGTTTAGGAAGTGTGTGTTTACTGGGTCCTGGCTTCACCATTACCTTTGTGTTTATGCCACCCGTATTTTACAATGGCCAAATTTCCTTGCTTATTTTTAGTTTTATTTTATCCTACCATTCATTGTGTTTTTATGCATTTCCATAAGTCTATTTTGGAACAAGGAACAGTACCAACAATCTCAGAATATCTTTTGGTTTTATGTTGTCAGCATGAACCTTTCACTCTAGGATGAAAAAGGATGGCAAATCATCTCACCACAGTTCTGACACGGCATTACTTTACAAAACAATTTAAGATCTCTCACACATAGATGAAGTCTACGCTGTGAGAACACAGTCTGCAGCACAGAGCAGCACAGCCATTAGGCAACAAACACCTAACATCAGAAACACAGTCACGGAAAAGTTTACACACTGTTTACTGAGCTCTAAACGTGACTAAATACAAAAGGCTAAGTAAAATTCAGATTCTTAAATACATACACAATTGTTTTTTGTGTAACGAACCACCCAGAATGCAATCGACTCTGACAACTGGCATCGTAGCTTGTGCACCTGGTGAGGTAATACACTGCACGAGGCCTTACATAACAACATCGGGAGAGTGGCTGTGCATGAATGTTCTTTTTCTCCCAGATCTCAGTGTGTAATCCAAAACATTCTTAAAACTTCAAATCCCTCCGCAGCCTAAATACAATTTGACATTTCGGTTTGCCTTACCTATAATTTACACCTGTATGATGATTATACATGTAGACACAACATAATTTTAAATGAATATAAAATTATACTACACAAAGATAAAAAATAATGATTATGAAATCTAACTGTACTTGAGAATACTTCAGTTTATGCCTCATAAATATAGATAGCTATATTTATGTTTCACAGAGATGAAAAAGATAGGAAAAAGCCTTTATTAACATTGCTAAGAAATAAGTAAAGCTAACAATTAGATTAAAAAGATTGAAAAAAGCATTCACAACGATATTGGAAATTCAATTTAAGAGGGAAAAAGATGCCGAAGTATACATGCTTTTTGGAAATTCATAGAAATAAAAAGGTAAGATCTCTGTTTCATGACAAAGACTGCAAAGAATGCTAACTTTCTGTACAACATGAAATTCAAACATTTAAGTGTTTTTCACTTATAAAAAAAAATACTGTCTGGAAGAGAAAGGAGAAAGTGCAAGTGTGGTTACAGCAAACAGAGACAACTCAGAAGCTACAGGGACAGGTCCCACGAGTTCCAGGCCAGTCTCAAGCCTGTCTGTCAATAGCGTACCTCTGCAAGAACGCCTGAGTTGGAGATTTTCAACCTTTTTCATCTCATGGCACATAAACTAATTACTAAAATTCTGCAGCACAACAAAAAGTGTATTTTTGCCTGACAAAAAAAAAAGGTATGGTTTTGATTCATTCACACTGGACAGTTAGTTTTGTGTTGGCTGTTATCATTTTTTTATAGGACAACCTAAGGGAAAAGAGGTCAGTGCCCCAACTCAGTAGTCAGATTTTGCATGTTTTAAAAGTCCTTGTACACATGGTTGAAAAATTAGTCAATCATCTTCTAATTTTCCAGGGGATGCTGGATGGTTTTTAGTGTAAAAGACACTGAATACTGTTTAACTTTTTAAAGGATGTACTTTATAGTGCATATTAAAATCCTATATGTTCAGTATTTCTATTTTTTTACAATGTTTTAAAAAAATTTTAAATAGGAAAAACCATGTAAACAAAGTAACTTTTTGGCTTTAATTCAATGAACCTGTTGATAACAGATTTCCCCAAGGACCTCTGGCAAGGATCCCTCAGATTATCAAGATTATATAAAGTTATTTTCTAATCCAAGCAGAGTAACACTCAGGGAAGTGAGGACATGCAACACTGTGAGTACATGGCTCACATGTAAGAATGTGCTAAGTGCGCTACTTACATCTTTCAGGAGCTTGGTCGATGTGCTCTGGACAAAGAAGGAAGAAGTGGCTGACATCCTGGAAGGTGCCTGCCCCCACAGCACAAGGGTAATGGTATGTCTGTGTACATTTCTCTTCACAGCATTTGATAGTGGCTCCAAGGTGCTTACAAAATGCACATCGCTGAAGGGGAAAAAGGGAAAGAAATTTCTTCACAAAACCTGGTAGAGAAACATTCAAATGCAGGGCTAGGAAAGTATTAAAAACCTTTGTAACATCACTCGAAAAACTGAAGTTACAAAGTTAGCATTTCGCTTTCCCCAATGACTTTGTACAAATAAATTTTTTTTTTAAATCAGTAGTATGGTTAAAAAGACGGGTATCTAGTTAGTTGAGCATTATTTTCTTAAGTGTTTAAATCCTATCAGTAAACAAGTAAAACGAATATACAGTATAAAACATCTTTCACCCTGCCTAAAAATCAATAGGAAGTAAACTAGTCAACCACAGAGTAGGTTAATGAGGGACAACTATATTGTTCAATGCAACAGATGGACACATTTCATTGTGGTAATTCATTATAAGTTTCTGAGTAAATGCTAGGAGTGTAAAGAAAAATTAGGTCATAAGTATCTCCTCTCCCCTCAGTCCCACCAATTTCAATCTGCTGCTACTCTCTTACAAGCAGTAAGAGCAAAGAAATAGGGCCCCCATGATCAACAGAGTAAGTCTAGGGCAATGGTCAGCAAACTCATTAGTCAACAGAGCCGAATATCAACAGTACAACTATTGAAATTTCTTTTGAGAGCCGAAAACCGACTTCTGCGCATGGGCCACTAAGTTTCAATTGCACTGTACATGCGCACCCGCACGTGGTATTTTGTGGAAGAGCCACACTCAAGGGGACAAAGAGCCGCATGTGGCTCTCGAGCCGCATGTGGCTCTCGAGCCACAGTTTGCTCACTGGTTGAGGGCAACTGAGTGTGTAAGAAGTCAATTTGGATGATCGATCTATAATGCTTTACTTCCTTACCTCACCTTTCCCTAAGAATGACTTGCTATCCACTCAAGCCCAATGTGGACGTCATTTCTTTGGTGGAGCTTTTGCTGGAGGCCTGCACTGCACAGTGTAAACCTCCCTCTGTGCAGAAGAGGCCAGGCTGCCTTGTTACATTAGCCTCTGCGTAAGCACTTCTGATATTTGCATAGTGGTTTGTCTTTTCCTCCCATTCCAACATCCCTGGGTAGAAACTGGTTGTCCTTGCTTTGTTCACGCAGCACCATGAATGCTGCTGACAGAGAAAGGCCAGGCATATGTGTCCTAAGTGGATGTCACTCTCAGGACTCTCATTTGTGAGAGCGGCTCGCAAATAGCACAGCTGGAATACCTAAAGCCAAACAGGATGAACAGGATGATCTGTGGGAGCATCAAGCCTCAAGGAACTACAGACATCTTCACATGCCAATGTTGACTCTACATTTCAACATTTATGTGTAAACCTACATAAGCAAGCACACGCCCTCAAAATCTCATAACCTCAGGTCCTCCGCTTCGAATGAATATGAAAAAGCTTAGCACCTCCTGGTGTGTCTGCTACACACTGAGTGCAGCCAACAGACCACAGCGGTCTTTAAGTCCTCATAAACTCTAGCTGTATCTGTGCCATTTTAATTTTATACTAGAGGCCCAATGCACGAAATTCGTGCAAGAGTGGGCCTTCCTTTCTCCTGCTGCTGCAGGCTCTGGCTTCCCTCTGGCTGCCACTAGGCACCCACGACTCAGGTTTCCCTTGCAACCCCAGTTTTCTCTAATTAACATATTATACTTTTATTATTATAAATAAAATCCATGGAGCCACAGACTAATGCACATTTTAGTTCTTTTCTGTACTCAAGGGCATGAAAAACACAGAGAGGTTCACCGGTATGGCTTAGTGATTGAGCATCATTCCATGAACTAAGATGTCACAATGTTTCTCTCTAAAAATCAATGGAGCCGAAACCAGTTTGGCTCAGTGGATAGAGCATCGGCCTACGGACTGAAAGGTCCCAGGTTTGATTCCGGTCAGGGGTATGTATGTTGGTTGAGGGCACATCCCCAGTAGGGGGTGTGCAAGAGGCAGCTGGTCGATGTTTCTCTCTCATCGATGTTTCTAGCTCTCTATCCCTCTCCCTTCCTCTCTGTAAAAAATAAATAAAATATATGCTTTTTAAAAAATTAAGCCCTCTGCTCTACAGAAAACACTAAGAAAATGAAAAAAGTTGCAAACTAGGCAGAAATATTTATAAAATGCATCTCTAATGAACAACTTATATGAAGAATATATAAAGAATTCTGACAACTCAATAGTAAGAAGACAAATCAATTGGAACAGGGTAAGGGTAGGGGCAAAAGATTTGAACGAACACTTCACTAAAGATACACAACAACCCTAACTAGTTTGTCTCAATGGATAGAGCATCGGCCTGCAGACTCAAGGGTCCCAAGTTCGATTCTGGTCAAGGGCATGTACCTTGGTTGCAGGCACATCCCCAATGGAGAGTGTGCAGGAGGCAGCTGATCGATGTTTCTCTCTCATCGATGTTTCTAACTCTCTATTCCTCTCCCTTCCTCTCTGTTAAAAAAAAAATCAATAAAATATATATATACTTTTTTTTAAAAGGATACACAATAGCAAGTAAGTACATAAGATGTTCAATCTCATTAGTCATTAGGAAGCAAAAAAGAAGCCCACACGGAGATATCACTGAACTAGAACTGCTAAAACTCAGAAACACTGACAATACCCAGTGCCTGCAACACCATAGAGCCAATGCACCTCTCACCACTGACTGGAAGAAATGGAAAGGTGTACAGGCAAAGTTAAACATATACTTCCAAACAAACAATGTCGCATCCATGTTCACAGTGGCTTTATAAATAATAGCCAAGAAAAAACTACCCACTGGTGAATGACTATTATGCTAAGTACATGCTGTACGATTCCATTTCAGTATCTGCAAAAGTGCAAGAAGAGGAACAGGTCAGTGATGGCCAGGAGCTAGGGGGGGAGGGGGGATGCAGCGCTCTCAAGGGGGGAGACTCTAACCAAGGGCAATGCTTCTGCACGGCCGTCCATCCGCACCCATCTCTGTTCCCAGTCCTTTGGGGTCTCTCCCTCCCTCTCTCCATCTAACTTGGTGGGCCCTGCTCTGCCCCTCCTCCTGACACCTCCTGTCTGCAGCCTCCCCTTCTTTTCCAGGGACAGAGCTCCCCGAAGGCTGTGCAGGCCCTGCCGCGGTGTGGAGATTATGGAGCGAGCCCAGGCTGACCCTGGGAGGAGAGCTGGGGTGACAGGCCACAGGGAGGAGGGAGGGATGTGGAGCTTGTACCATGGAAGATGCACCCAGCTCCACGGCTGCCCCCACCCAGCAGCTTTTCCAGGCCCCTGAGCAGCTGTCACCCTCTGCCACTGGCTGCCTCACGCTTCCTTTCAAGTTCTGGACTCAGTTTCTCTGACTCAGCCCCACCCCCCTCTCTGCTGCATCCCAGGAGCCTGAGGCCGCCCCTTGGCCTCAGGCAGGTGCACCTGGCCTGCCCCCTCATAATGGTGCTACCCACTCTCCTGGAGTAGTTAAATGTAACAAATAAAAAGAAGCAGCTCTGAAGATTATAAACTGTGCACTGAGAACGCCACAGGCTGCAGAGGGCTGCGCAGTCCACGGCTCTCAGATCACACATAGCAGCCACCCGGTCCCTCCTGGCTCCCTCCCCTCCTCCACTGGGGGCTTGGGCCAAACCCTGGGAGTTTCCTGACAGCTCTCACCTCACACCTCACTTTCCAGTCCAGCCCACCAGCGCCCGCAGCAAGCTAGCCTAGGTCTGAGCATCTGCCCACTGGTGGTCAGTGCATGTCATAGCAACTGGTCAAACAGTCAAACTCCCAGGGGAACTCGCAATCAAGGGGACAATTTGCATATTAGGATTTTATTATATAGGATGTTTACATTAGTCAAAAGAAAGCTGGAGTGGCTATATTAATATTAGACAAAATAGATTTCCGAGTTAAATACAGGCTTTTATTATTTTTTATTTAAGTATCCTTACCAGTATCTTTCCTCTGAACAAAGTTATTTTATACTAGAGGCCCGGTGCATGAAAATTCATGTGCTGGAAGGGGGGTCCCTCAGCCCAGCCTGCCTCCTTCACAAACCAGGAGCCCTGGGGGGTAGTGGGGAGGCGACCTGGCGATCAGGGGAAGGTGCCATCCCCATCACACCTCTGCTGCCAGCGAAAGCCTCGGCCAGCCCTGGTTACCTGAACCTCGGGAGGCCCTGGATGGCTGGGCAGCCACCCTGCGGAGCTTGCCTGCACCTCAGGCCGGCCCTGGGCAGTTGGGACAGCTGCTATCCAAGGCTTGCCTGCGCCTTGGGCCAGCCTGGGCAACTGGGGGTCTGAGAGGACTGGGGGACTCCAGAGGCAGGTACCCTGGTGGGGCTGACGGAAATGGGCACTGCCATCTTTGAGGTCATGGCAGTCAATTAGCATATTCCCTCCTTATTAGATAGGATAACCACTACTAGAGCATTATCACAGCCTCTCTATGATGGAGAATTCAATGTTGTACACTAAAAAGTACCTACTACAGTACTATAGAGAGAAATATACTGGAATTGAGATACAGTCCAACTTAAGTACTAAGCAAAAGGGTTAACGTAACAGTCCCGAGGCTACTATTCTTACCAAGGCCTGCTTGCCAGCTGGCACCCTCATTTCCCCAAGTGAAAGGGCAATTTTCTGCAGCTAGATAAGTGTGCCAACAGTGTGGCTTTCCCTCTGGTAAGGGCAGGCCCAGGGTGCCTATGAGGGAGGCCCCAGTAAAAACCTTGAAACGCTTGGTGCAGGAGCATCACACACATGCAGCTGCACTTTCCTTGCTGGAAGAAGAGGGTGCCTATGTGACCCCTCACGGGAGGGAGAGCACCTAAGGTAGCTTGCACTTGGGATTCTCCCCAAGTCTGCCAGTGTCTCTTCCCACTGAGATGCTCACCAGACCACATAAGCCTCAGCCATAATCACAACCCTATGGGTCCCATGAGTTCCTCCTGGGAGCCTCCAACCTGGACAGTCTTATAGACCCAGCACCACACTGTGAATGTTTACCTTTCCTCTTAAAAAACTATAGCAGAAAAGGAAGAATATA